CAAGCCAGTGATGATAGTGGGAGATGCCCCCCATTGAAATAAGCTCCCTGAATAAATTGCATCAACGGCCATGAATACCTCTCCTCTCATCCACAGCACTCTGCAGCTCTTCCCAGGTGGAGTCTATTGCTCCACACCTTGCCTCTGGGTTTGGACAGGTGACCTGCTTTGGAACAATGGAACAGTAAGAAAGGGCATGCAAGGCAAGGCTTGGAAAGTCCTTGTGCACTAGGGCTTGTCGCCCTTTTCTCTGCCCTTGGAGTCCAGCCCCAGTGAAGTCTGGCTAGACTGCTGGATGATGAGAGGCATGTGTGTCCATTGCCCCTGTCACTCTGTCCAGCAGCCAGCCAATTGCCGGATATGTGATTGAAGCTGTCCTAGGTTGTTCAGCTGACTACAGGCACATGAAAGAGCTCAGCAGGAATCAGCCCAGGTTACCCAGAACACAATAACTGTTTAGCTGGTCCACAGAACTGTAAGCAAAATGAAAGGTTAGTGTTTAAGTCACTAGGTTTTGGGGGAAGTTAACTGATTCAAGGAAGCAGGAGAATAAGGGAGGTAGCCCCTTACTGCCACGGTTAAGGTGGGCTGGAGCAATAATCAGGATGGCTTGGGCCACAGAGATCTTCAGTGGTGGTTAATTGATCATGATGTCCTTGAACTAAGTACATGGCAGCCTACTAAAGTCTGACCTGATCTGCATGCCTCACAATTTGCTATGCCATGTTTTCATTTGCATTTGTTCAAATATTTTCTAATTTTATTTGCAGGTTTTTCTTTGACTCATGGGTTATTCAGATGTGTGTTATTTAGTTGGGGATTGACCTCAAATTTAATCCTATTTTTGTCAGAGGAGATACTTTGTGTGATGTATGATTTTCACCCTTTAAAATATATCAAGACTTGTATTATGTGCAGAATACAGTCTGTTTTGGTAAATGCCCTTTGTGTGCTTGAAAAATAAAAAAAAATAAAAAGGCAAACTTTTTTTTGACCTGCTCCGTTTCCGACCTGGGCTGGTTCACCCCTCCTTAGGCAACCTGGTGGTCCCCCGCTCCTTGGAGTTCACCATATTGATGCTGAACTTAGTGCAGACACCCGATTGGCATAGCTCACTGCAGCCCAGAACTCCTGGGCTCAAGCGATCCTCCCACCTCAGCCTCCCGAGTAGCTGGGACTACAGGCACACGCCACCAAGCCCAGCAAAAATGGCAAACTTTTTTTTTAAAGAGCCAGATTATAAATAATTTGTTAATGAAGTCCACATCATCTCTGTTGCAACTCAACTACTCAACTCTGCCATTATAGTATGAATGCAGTCACTAACAGTATGTAAATAAGTGTCTGTGGTTGTTTTCCAGTAAAACTTCATTTACAAAAACAAGGCTAATCTGTTTTCAGACCTCTGTTCTATGCGTTTGTTGATTTTCTGTCTGCTTGTTTTGCCAGTTATTGAGAGGATGTGTTGAAATCTCCAGCCATAACTGTGGATTTGTCTGTTTTTCCTTTTAGATTTTGCTTCATGTATTTTGAAACTATGTTATTAGGTGCATTAACATTTAGGATTTCTATGTCTTCTTGACCAAGTAACTCTTTATCGTTATGAAATGTCCCTCTGTATTCCTGGCAATAGTCCTTGATCTGAAATCTATTTTATATGATATTAGTATAGCATCCCAGCTTTTCAAAAAGAGCGACTGCATGATGTATGTGTGTGCATTATGTAAATGGAATATATATTATATATATGTAAAATATATAATATGGAATATATATCATGGAATATGGAATAATATATATTATATGGAATATATATTGTATGTGGAATATATATGTTATATATGGAATATGTATTTTATATATGAGCTACATATGTAATACATATATTACATATAAAATAATATATAACAAAATATATATTATATTATACATATTTATATATTCATAATATATATAATATATACAAATGAAGTATATATATATTCCACTTAAAAAATTTTAGCCTATCTATAGCTTTTATATTTAAAATAGATTTCTTATAGACAGCATATAGTTAGGTCTTATTAAAAAAAAATTTGGCTGTGCATGGTGGCTCATGCCTGTAATCCCAGCACTCTGGGAGGCCAAGGCAGGTGAATCACCTGAGGTCAGGAGTTTGAGACCAGCCTGGTCAACATGGTGAAACCCTGTCTCTACTAAAAATACAAAAAATTAGCCAGGTGTGGTGGTGGATGCCTGTAATTCCACCTACTCGAGAGGCTGAGGAAGGAGAATCTCTTGAACCTGGGAGGCAGAGGTTGCAGAGAGCTGAGATTATGCCATTGTGCTCCAGCCTGGGCAACGAGAGAAACTCTGTCTCAAAAAAAAAAATTTTTTTTTTATCTGATAATCTGTGCCTTTTAGTTAGAATGTTAGAACATTTACATTTACTATGATGATTGATATGGCTGAATTTAAGTCTAGCATATTGCTAGCTGTTTTCTGTGCCATTTGTTCTTTGTTTTTCCTTCTTCTCCTGCTTTATTTTTCTTTTGCAATGTCTAAAATGCCATTAATCCCATCCATTGTATTTTTTATTTGTAGAAGTTTAATTTTTGACTTTTTTTATATGTTCAGTTTCTCTTTTCATCATGTTCATATTTTCTTCTCCCTTCTTGAACATGTTGAGTATTTTTTATAATAGTTGTCTTAATGTCATAATCTAATAATTCTGTCATTTGTGTCATTTGTTGGTCTGTTCTATTGATTAATTTTTCTCTGTATGTTTTCCTGTTTCTTTGCATGTCTGATAATTTTTGATTCAATGGCAGACATTGTAAGTGTTGTGATCCTGGGTGCTGGATTTTGTCTATTTATGCTTTGTTCTGAGATAGAGTTTGATTCTTTTGTGACTTCCTTTTAAGCATTGATCCAGAATAGCCTTTAGTCTAGGACTAATTTGGCGCCACTATTGAGTTAAGAGAACTTTCCATTCTGGTGAGTGGGAACACAAACTCTTCCTGGCCCTGTGCCAACCCTAGTGATTGTTCTCCCTGCTACTTTTCAGTGGTTCTTTACCTAGCCTGACAAGTTTCTTCACATACATGCAATGGTCAATATTCCACTGACTAACCAAGGAGAGCCCTGTATAGAATTTCAATACCACCCATCCCCTCTCTGCAGCTCTCTCTTTGGTACTCTGCCCTGTTAATTTTATTTACCTTGTCTTTTCTGAACACTGTCTCTGTAAATCAGGGAGACCACAAGAGTCTGTGTAAGCCTCCCTCCCAGCACGGCAGCCTAGAAACTCCCTCCAGGGACTGAGACAGCACGGCAATGGGGCTCACCTCATCTGTTTTCATTCTCTCAGAGATTATCATCCTGCACTATTGGTAAAATCTGAAAACCATTGTTTTGTGTATTTTGTTTGGTTTTTTAGTTGTTTATGATGGGAGGGTAAGTCTATTTTCTACTATACCATCATGGCCAGAAGCAGAAATCATGTAATTTGATCTGTATGAACACCAACAAAAATGTTCTTCAGGTCAGGTGACTAGAGCCCTGAATTGAATTGCCATAGTGGAGAGTCACAGTCTGTTATACAGATGCCAGACCAGAGCCAGTTCATAGACCAGGTATCCCTTGAATAAAGGGGAGGCTGGAATCCCTGGGAAATGACATTGTGGCACAGCCTCCAAGCTGTGAAATGACCTTGCGGCACAGCCTCCAAGCCAGGCCCATGAGACTCAGGCATGACTTTCCTTTTAGAAGCGCTGAGCAAAGTTACCCTTGATTGTGATCATGGTATCCCCATTGCCAGATAAGTATGCAAAGTTACTCTTTCTCTGCTGGGATTGCTCAGCTAGGAAGAGGCAAGTATAGAGACGCTGGTGGCCATTGTGGGGTGGGTCAAGACACATGGAGGAAACAAGAACCAAGAAAGGGACACAGCCTGGTTCCTGAAGCCATCTTTTGAGCCCCCATACCAGCCTTGTGGGTCATGGTTTTTCAGTTGCATGAGCCAATGTATTGCCTGTTTTGCTTAAGTTGCTTTGAGGTGGGTTTCTGTGTTGGGTTGGGACATAAGGAATTAGTATTAGGGCATGAAAGGAACTTCTTGAGAGAGGAAGGACTCCCAGGGTCTGGATCACATGCAATAGCCCAGGGAAAATCCAGGCAATGTGAGTCTGCAGATTCCAATTGGGAATGCCAGCTAGAGATACCAAGGAGCTCACCTAGCCCCAAGAAGATGAGGGGGGCAATTCAGGCATCCCAATTCCAGAGCTCAACCCTTGTCAGGATCCTAGCTCCAGCTCCTCTGGGACTTTCATGTCATCTTTCTTTTTTTTTTTTTTTTTTTTGAGACGGAGTTTCACTCATGTTACCCAGGCTGGAGTGCAATGGCGCGATCTCGGCTCACTGCAACCTCCGCCTCCTGGGTTCAGGCAATTCTCCTGCCTCAGCCTCCTGAGTAGCTGGGATTACAGGCACGCACCACCATGCCCAGCTAATTTTTTTGTATTTTTAGTAGAGACGGGGTTTCACCATGTTGACCAGGATGGTCTCGATCTCTTGACCTCGTGATCCACCCGCCTCGGCCTCCCAAAGTGCTGGGATTACAGGCTTGAGCCACCCGCGCCCGGCCCCCTCATGTCATCTTTCTTGTCTCCACAAGCATATGTGACATCTGACTTGTGACAGGTCTAGGGTTAGTGATCCAGTGGGGAGGTATATTTGGCTCTTCTTGCATTGCTATAAAGAAATACCTGAGACTGGGTAATTTATAAAGAAAAGAGGTTTAGTTGGCTCATGTTTCTGCAAGCTGTACAAGCATGATGTTGGCATCTGCTTGGTTTCTGGGGAGGCCTCAGGAAGCTTACAGTCGTGTTGAAAGCTGAAGCAGAAACAGGTAGCTCAAATAGCAAAAGCAGGAGCAAGGGAGAGATAGAGAGAGTGGGAGTGGGGAGGTGCCACACACTTATACAACTAGATCTTGTGAGAACTTACTATAGCGAGAATAGCACCAAGCCATGAGGGGCCCACCCCCCATGACCCAAACTCCTCCCACCAGTCTCCACCTTCAACATTGGGATTACAATTCAACATGAGATTTGGTGGGGATGAATATCTAAACTATATCAGGAGGGGAAAGGGATGCACAGGGGGGTTCTGCATTCCTTAAGGGTAAGGTCCAAGCAGGAGCCTGGGAGCTGATTTTCTACCCAGGCTACCCTGCCTCTTCTCCACCCTATCACACTCTGGGTGGTATTCTTAAATATGCACAACTCCCCTCTCAGCCCCCAGACTTCTCAGATATCACTGAGTCACAATTGCGCTGAATCCACTATCCCCCTCACCATGTACCTCCCTCACCTAGGCCTCTATCCATCCAGGAGCCATTCAGGGGTGGATCCTTAGTTCTAGGCCCTGGACCAAGCTCTGGGGCTACAGTATTGCCATATACGTCCCTTCTACAAGTGGAGGGGAAATTCAGCCAGTTCTGGAAAGCCCCAGCATGGGTCCATGTGGATGAATTGCCAAGAAGAAGCAGAAATATGTGCGAGTTCTTACCCACTAGAATGGCTATAGTAAATCAGACAGACCAAAATTGCTGTTGAGGTTATAGATAGATGGGAGTGCTCATACACTGCTGGTGGGAATGTAAGGTAATGTGGCTGCTTTGCAAAATAATTTGGTGGCTGGCCAGGCATGTAATAGTGGAATGCCTTACACCTGCAATCCTAGTGCTTTGGGATGCTGAGGTGGGAGGATTGCTTGAGCCCAGGAGTTCAAGACCAGCCTGGGCAACATAGCGGGACCTCGTCTTAAAAAAAAAAAAGAAAATAATTTTGTGGCTTCTCAAACAGTTAAACATAAAACTACCAGCTGGGTGCAGTGGCTCACGACTGTAATCCCAGCACTTTGGGAGGCCGAGGCGGGTAGATCACCTGAGGTGGAGAGTTTGAGACCAGCCTGACCAACAAGGAGAAACCCCATATCTACTAAAAATACAAAATTATCCAGGTGTGTTGGTTTATGCCTGTAATCCCAGCTACTTGGGAGGCTGAGGCAGGAGAATTGCTTGAACCCGGGAGGCGGAGGTTGCAGTGAGCTGATATCACGGCATTGCACTCCAGCCTGGGCGACAAGAGTGAAACTCCATTTCAAAAAACAAAAACAAAACAAAACAAAAAACCATAAAACTACCATACAACCCAATAATTCCACTCCTAGGTGGAATAAAATGAAAATAAGAGAAATGAAAGCATATGTCCACATAGAAACTTGTACATGAATGTTCTTAGCAGCATTGTTCATAATAATCAAAGAGTAGAAACAACCCAAATGATCAACAACTGATGAATGGATAAACAATATGTGGCATAATGGAACAGTATGCAGCCATGAAAAGGAATGAAGCACATTTACCTGCTCCAACATGATGAATCTTGAAAACATTAAACTAAGTGAAAGAAGCCACTCACAAAAGCCACATATTGTATTTGTTACCACAAACTGTTGAATTCTATACTTGAAATGGATGAGTTTTATGATATGTAAAATACATCTCAGTAAAGTTTTTTCTTTTAAAAAAAAAAAGTGTGAGCCAGGCACGGTGGCTCACACCTCTAATCCCAGCACATTGGGAAGCTGAGGTGGGTGGATCACAAGGTCAGGAGTTTGAGACCAGCCTGACCATCATGACGAAACCCTGTCTACTAAAAATACAAAAATTAGCTGGGAGTGGTGGCAGGTGCCTGTAATCCCAGCTACTTGGGAGGCCGAGGCAGGAGAATTGCTTGAACCCAGGAGGCAGAGGTTGCAGTCAGCCGAGATTTTGCCATTGCACTCCAGCCTGGGTGACAGAGCGAGACTCTGTCTCGGGGAAAAAAAAAGTGTGTTAGGAGACTGAGGAGGAATAAGGTGAGTGGATGGTGGAGATGGAAGACTCTCTGTCCTGAGATATCTATTTCTTAATAATTCTGAAATCTGCCCAATTCTCTCCATTCCTATTGCCACCACCCTGGACCAAGCTGCATCATCCGTCCGTCTGTTTCTCTGACCACTGCCACAGTGTCCTAACTGACCTCCCCATACCTGCTCCTTTGCCATCTCCATTTGCTGGCCACACCATGGTCAGGTGGGGGTCTTTTTTGCAATGCAGCTTTTACTGGATTACTGTTGTTACCAGCTTAAAGCCCTTTAATGGTGTAACAGGAGTGGGCCTCAGTATACAAACTTAAAAGTGCATGAACTAGCTGGGCACGGTGGCTCATGCCTGTAATCCCAGCACTTTGGGAGGTCAAGGCGAGCGGATCACGAGGTCAAGAGATCGAGACCATCCTGGCCAACATGGTGAAACCCTGTCTGTACTAAAAAATACAAAAATTAGCTGGGCGTGGTGGTGTGCGCCTGTAGTCCCAGCTACTGGGGAGGCTGAGGCAGGAGAATTGCTTGAATCCAGGAGTTGGAGATTGCAGTGAGCTGAGATTGCGCCACTGTACTCCAGCCTGGCGTCTGGTGACAAAGCAAGACTCTGTCTCAAAAAAAAAAAAAAAAAAAAGTGCATGAGCTATATCTGCATTTCCCCACATTCCTATAGAATTATGCATTTCTTATTTTTCTGAATTATGCATTTCTCTATATTTTTTCTGTAATTCAGCATTTTTATGAACCCCTATTCCAGTGACATGGTGAAGCTGAATCTTTGTCAATTCTGGGGCTCTATTTTTCTTAGGGGTCTTAAGTAGAGCTGAGACCTTAGAGGCCCCTTTTGCCCTCTTTGTATTCCGTCTACTGAGACATGCTTCTACTCTTACCAAGTCGCCTTCACCTCCTGCTCTCTGCTGCTCCAATACCACATGGGCATGCAAGAACCAGGCTGCAGCACCTGCCACCCCACATCTGGGTGTGGCAATCTTGGTGGGACTAAGGCCTATAAGCTAAATTGTATCACAGCTATTTTCCTTCTCTGAGACCTTCCTTCTTCCCAAGGACCCTTCCCTGGGGTGTGGTTTGCAAGGCCTCCTTTGACACACACACACACACACACACACACACACACACACACACACACACACCACCCTCTCTGTTCTCACCACTTTCCTTTTGGTCTTCATCTGCCCCTGAGCTGTAGAAGACTGTTTTCTAGACTGAGCATGAATAAAGCTGTTCTTAGAACATTTCCACCTAGTATTTTGTCTCTGCTGCCAAGTCCTCCCATTCTCCTAAGGGTCATGGGGCAGAGGATGCTCACTGTTTCCCTGTATCCATTTGCCCCATCTTCTTTTTAATGTTAGGCTACCACAATCCAATAAAGAAAGATTGGTCTTCAACAAATGGTACTGAGAAAACTGGATGCAAAAAGAATGTGTTGGACCCGCCTTGCAGCAAATAAAAATATCTCAAAATGGATTGAAACAGAATCGTATGCATTTGTCAAAACTCATCAAATTGTACACTTAAAATTGTTCAGTTTTATTGTATATAATATCTCAATAAAGCTTACAAAAAAGGAAATTAAAAAGTGGATCAAAGACCTGAATGTAAGAACTGAAACCATAAAACCCTTAGAAAAAATCATAGGCACATATCTTGTAGAGTAGGCAAGGATTCGTAGATATGATACCAAAAGCACAAGCAACCAAAGGGGAGGAAAGCTAGATAAATTGTACTTCATCAACATTTAAAAATTCATGTTTCAATAACACTATCGATAAAATGAAAAGACAAGCCACAGAATGGGAGGAAATATTTGCACGTTATATCTCTGATAAGGGTCTAGTATCTACAGTATATAAAGAACTCCTTAAACTCAACAACAAAAGGACAAATAACCCAATTTTTTAAATGGACAAAAGATTTGAATGGGCATTTCTCCAAAGAAGTTAGACAAATGGCAACAAACACATGAAACAATGCTCAGCATCAGTAGGAAAATGAACGTCAAAGCCACATTGAGACACCACTTCACACCTGCTAGGGTGGCTGTAATAAAGATGAAATGGCGAAGATATTGAAGCACTGGAGCCCTCTTGCATTGCTTCTGGGGAATGTAAGATGGTGCAGCCATTTTTGGAAACAAGTAGGCAGTTTCTCAAAAAGTTAAATATAAAACTACCATATGATCCATCTTCTACTCCTAGGTATATATCTAAGAGAACCGAAAACAAATGCTCAAACAAAAGATTATATTGTGTTCAAAGCAGCATTATTCCTAGTAGCTAAAGGCTATAAACAACCCAAATGTCCACCAACTGATGAATGGATGGATGAAGTATGGAATATCCGTGTCAAGTAATTTTATTTAGCCATAAAAAGAGTGAAAAAGTGATATGTAAATTATGTCTTTTTGGAGTATAAATATCTCAATTGTCTAAAATGATATTTTCTTTAGGAGTTATCCTCAGTTCAAAACTCACTTTCTGAAGTATCACATCTATCCACCTTTTAAAAGACATAAAATTATGAGAAGCTAGCACCAGAAACTAAGTGAACATTTCAGCTAAAGGCAAAGAGAAAGTTAAGGGTGTTTTCACAAGGAAATCCAAAGAAGACAACCAGAAGGAAACAAGTTCAACATGGCCATACCAATCTTGGTAAAAGAGCTAGAGTGGAAACTCAAGCTGCAGGGAAAGCGGGAGAAGGAAAGAAGACTCAGTTCAAACAGATAGCACAAGGAAACCCAGCACAAATTCTGGCTTTGGCATTATCTTGATAATCCTTATTTTTTGTCATAGGTGACGCTAATACTAGTCCTATTGTTGCAAAACGAGTCCAAATCCTACCAAGTTAAAAATCTCTCATTGACCTGTTGGGTGTAGGTGGTACCTTTGTCCTCCCAAGCCAGGAGATCAGTTCTGGCAAGAGGGCTCCAATGCATCTTGATGGTGCTGTTGGTAGGATGTCCAGTGATGTTCTGCTGCTTGAGATACATGGTGGGAGGAGGGTGCCCTTCGTTCATTACTCAGTCAACATCTTGGCCTTGAAGAAGCAACGCAGGTAGAAAACCTGCCAGGTGTCTAGTCCAATGAAGCAGAACATAAAAAGACACAAGTACAGGACTCAAGTGTTTGTTGATTCATTGGTATCACACATCTCCTCCTCTCTCTTCTTCATGTAGCAAAATCATTAACAATAGATTCTGAGAGGTCTAGGCATTGCAGTTCCACCTATAATGGCTTAAGCTTCTCAGCTTTCCAATCTCCTTGTAATTTTTTTTTTCCTCCACTCCATG